GAAAGAAACTATGGTCTCGCCTTTGAACTCGGTGTAGTTTAGGGGCCCTTTAATCGAAGCAAAAGCTGTGTCTTGAGTGACTGAGCCCCGTCAATTGATGCTCTGATAAAGACGGGTCTTCTCGTTTACAAGCTGCTGATCTGTTCAAACGTTCTCTTCGACTGGGCTGTTTTTTTTTTTTTTCGTTCAGTTACTACGACGAATCAACCCTGGAATTGCTGTGGCGCCACGTCGGCATGTTTCTCGGTCAGGATGCGCAAAGCAGCGTCTGCTACTTGCTGCCCGCAGACGTCCTCAGCTTCCGGGTAAGTCAACAATCGATCTAGGTGTGTCCAAATGGCGGTGGAATACGCCTTAATTTGTAGCGAATAATTGTTGCGTTTCACGTCCAGGAACTACTTTATTATTGCGAGGGACGCCTTAGTGAATGGCTCCGTAAATTTTGATTATTTGGGGCTTTTTTTTAACGTGCACAAAAATGTAAGTGGAAGAACGGCTATTTGGGCTAGTTGGTTTGAATTCGTGGTAATAAGGGCTGCAGCGCGAGCACAAAGGTGCTAGAAGAAACGTGAAACGAAAGGTGAGACAAGGAAAGCAAAGAGGAGGCAAGGAAAGCAAAGAGGACTCGTGTTGTCCTCTTTGCTTTCCTTGCCTCGCCTTTCGTTTCACGTTTCTTCTAGCACCTTCGTGTTCGCGCTGCAGCCCTGATTACCATGTAAGTGGACCACCCTCTAGACTTCGGTCTTCATTGAAATGCAGCAGTCACTGGACATCGTCCACACTTCAAGGATCGCGACATGCGGTCCTACAAATCCGCAGGTCCAAATCCATGACCTGCGGGTTGTTGTTTGAGAACCACAAACAGTAGACCACCACGGCGCGTCTATGCCTTAATGTAGAACAGCTGTCGATGTGCTCAAGTGATCGTAAGGTGTAGGTTTACGGTGTTTCATTCCTCCCGTAATCAGGCAAACTTGTACAGAATAAGTTATCTGCACTGCTAACTCGTCCAGCTAGGTGTTGTAGACGCCCGCGTCTGCACAATACGCGCAAAAGATGATCGCAAGCGTCCACTTATTCTATTTAAGTCTCGTTTAATCGCACGCGGTACGCTTATACCACTGCAGTTTTCCTACAAGTGTTCTATTCCCGCCGTGGCGGTCGTATTACGATAGAGCCGAAATGTCAAGAGGCCCGTGTGTGACGTCAGTGCACGTGAAATGCCTAACACCAGGCGGTTGAAATTTCCTAAGCCCTCTACTATACGACGTGCCTCGTTATCGTATAGCGGTTATGGCATGCACGTGAAAACTTAATTACTATAATAATTATAGTTCCATGCATTGACGTGCTTACGCGGGGAATAATACTGTGCTCCGGCACGACGTAAGCATCACTGCCGCGTTTCGCGCGGCAACTGTGACGCACGCGGAGCATTGTCTGCCCCGGTTCATTCTGTCTGCTTTGCATTGTACCAATCGTAATAAATCACCAAGAATCCAGACTTCCAACGTGAAATGCAATGTTTAGTGCTGAACTAGAAGCTGGAAGACACTTAAGCTTTGCCCTGCCGCGGTGGTGTAGTTAGTGGCTTAGGTAGTCGGCTCCTGGCCCGCAGGTCACGGGTTCGAATCCCGGCTGCGGCGGCTGTATTTCCGATGGAGACGGAAATGTTGTAGGCCCGTGTGCTCAGATTTAGAGTGCACGTTAAAGAACCCCCCGATGGTCTAAATTTCCGGAGCCCTCCACAACGGCGTCTCTCATAATCATATGGCGGTTTTGGGACGTTAAACCCCCACATATCAATCAGTTTGGTTCATCCTGCCTGCTTTGCATCGTACCAATCGTAATAAATCACCAAGAATCCAGACTTCAAACGTGAAGTGCAATGTTTAGTGCTGAACTAGAAGCTGAGAGACACTTAAGCTTTACCTTTAAAGAGTTGCACGCAATCGTGATATTCGCACTCGCGCACACACCGCGCACGCACTATCGGCTTGTCAATCGATGGCAGCTGCTATCGATTATCGATTCTCGCTTCTGGATTGGAGCCTTAAGGGGCACCTCAAGGGAAGCTGAAGTCAAAACATTCTCCTTCATGCTGTTGTCGCTCCCGGCCAACGCTGCTTTTTCGCTCAAAACGAAACGCGCCGCCTCCGACACCTAGAAACGAGCTTGTTAACGCTGTGTCACTAATAAAGAGCACGCGCTTTCGGGTTTGTACCATGAGGAGGAGATCTTAGACCATAAAAACAAGTTTGCCGGAATCGATTCGTGATGCAATAAACTCGAACGAGGATCGAAGTCGTTCGACGGTTACTTGCGAAAGTGTTGCAGGGCCTCTGTAACATACGGCCCTTCACTTCCACATTCGTAAACTTGAAGGCCTTTTTCGTTTGTACCAGGTGGCGCAACGCACGAGAACGCGTCGCACTCGGTGCTACCCAGCGAGGACGGTCGCTGGTTTCGGTCCCGCCGGTAGAGCGACGGGCTGTGCCAGGTCGCATGGCGTACTTCGAGGCGTGCCGACTGGTCCGGGAGGGCTTTCGACGTCCTCGACCTCGAGTACGGCGTCGTTGCATCTCGGGGACGGCGTCTGGCTGTCGTACACGGCTCCCCAACAGATGAAGCACTTCGCCGACGCACTGCGGGACAACCTAACGGCCGGGTGCCTGGGTCTGTGGAACCCGCAGTGGGACGACTTCGCCGCCGCCTGCGGCGGTCTAGAGTACCCTCTCGCTAGGGCTCTCCTTCCGCACTGAAGCGGCACTTAATCGCGACTTTTGTGTCTCGTGCAATCAAATATTTGATATGAGTGGCGCTTGCGTTATATGGTCTATTTGGCCAGATCTCTGTTGCGGTATACAATTAAATGGAAAATATGTTGACGATGACCAAACACAAAAAGATGTTCTCGGAGCAGCCAATTAAGAATAAACTGCAGGCCGAAGCTGACATCGAATATTTAGCACTGCAGTGGAACCTTCAGAAAACGTAACTCTCAGAAAAAAAAAAAAGCAGAGACCTGTTGATTACTATCCTTTCTATACCAAATATACTTGTACAGTACTCACAGATTGAAGCATGACGTTACTTTTCCTTACACTTTAAGCAAAAATAAGCCGAGGTGGCAGTAAATGACTTGTTCTCTAGTAGCATGCCCCCTCGGGGCATGCGCTCTGAATATACGAGCAGCGCAATCTATAGAAGTAGTTGAATGCATGTGAATTTCAATGTGAAGACGTATGGGTGCACTATATGTTATCACTCTCACATCAACGTCCTCGCATCGCAACTTTTATACGTCGTAGACACAGGTGGACTCATCTCGGTGATGAAACATCGGAAGCAGCTTAAAGCACTAGTGCGTTTCTGCGTTTCAACACTTGACTGCCACTCGGACTGCGTGGGTTTGATTCTGGCTTGAGCCCTAACTTTCACTCTTCCCATTTAGCGGGATTTTTTGCTCGTGGAGAACGCCGCAAACATTTTCTGCGACACGGGATTACTAACAATATCACGTATAATAATAAATCATCTAGGCCTACGTCTGCAGTGCGGCAAATTAAATAGAGAAGCATATTGTCAGTGAAGGTTGTAAAACAACAACGTGACAACGCTATCAGTTTAAGTATATATACCCTTGTTTTTCTTGCGCACCCACTGTCGGACCGGCAAAAATACAGTGATCATTCAAACTTATATAAAGCTGTGAATAGTGTTATATGGGAAAGGAAATTTACCAAACCACAGAGGGAACTCTGGCACATGAGAAAAGATGAGTAGAAAAGCTAAATTTAAGAGCGATTAATTAGGCTAAAGTTAAAAAACTATAAATTGATTAAAAATCTCATGTAGGTATACCACAAAAAAACTCTATGAACGCTGCTTTTGTTTGTTTGTTTTTGTTTACATGTAGCCTGAAAAATGTGGCACGTACCCACTCTTGGCGATGAACCAAGAATTTGTATAGTAGCCCATGAATGGTAACCGCATTGTTGCTTACTAAAAAGTAATTTAAGAAGAATAAAAAAGAACACTACAATTGTAAAAAGCAAGAAAGTGCAAAACAAAATAATAAAAGAAATAAGCGTGATTGCAATAAGGATACGTTAAATTTTGAAGCTGACCAGGCAGGTATTTTAGCTCGACCCGAATAAATTGAAATGTACGTGTCGGATTTCATCACATTTTAAAATTACTTCGGGAGTGTTTTTCCGGTATTCATCAAAGTGAACATTCACGTTGGAGTACGTTTAGTGGCTTTAATAAAATAACACACCGCATGAAATGCGCATATGCGGCAATATCTGAAAACGGAGAATACGAAGGTAACAGTTGATGCGGTTAAGCCTGGATAAAGGGGCCGTCAAGCAATTAATCACTCAACTCGAACCTAGCTTCGCAAACGAAGTAGCTAGAAGTGTTTTTCTAACTAATTATTGATCACGACAATATGCAACATAATGTTCAACTTTTATTGGCAATGAAGGGAAGTCTATGGATCGAACTGGCCGTGCGCCACCGCTGAAGAATATTATCACACAACTGCGTCCATGTTTTTCGTGCGAATATTATAGAAAACTTTTTTTCTTACTTTCATTATGGGGGCGCCGCTTTCGGCCGCTGGCATTCCAGGATGCTAAGCACGTGCTGGACTACGTCTCTTTGATTGCCTGGCTCTCGGATGATGATTTTGCTGCTTACAGCAGTTGGCATTACTTCTTGGTTACCCGGCGGTGGTGCACAGTCCCAGAGGAGGTGTTTCTGGGTGGCTCGCGCCTTCTTGCAGTGTTGGCATACATCAGTGGTTTGACGCGAGTAGGTTGCTGCTCCGGGACGTCCGAGCACGCTAGTGTCTCGCTTTAATCCCCCTACCCCTTCCCCCTTTATGCCAGATCGTCAATAAAGTTGTTTGACTCACTCACTCACTTTCATTATTCTTCTTTTTCTGTCGATCTCGCGTTGTGGGTTTATGCCACACCATTGCTATCATCACCAACAACTTGCTTTTCTTTTTCGTTGGCACTCTCGTTCTAGTCGTACTTCGAACGCGATTTCTTTCCCAGCTCCCAAGACGTAATCCGTTTCCGATCGACGTCTCCCGCGATGGCCGGCGCGGATTATTCGCCCGCCGTCTGCAAGGCTGTCGACGAAAGCGCCAGTCGGCTTCGCCAGCTGAGCATGGACCTCTGGAACAATCCGGAGTTGGCATTCAAGGAGGTCAAGTCTCACGACCTGCTGACTTGGTTTCTTGAGGAACGAGGACTCAAGGTTCAAAGGAAAGTACCTCCTGGACACGGCGTTTAGAGCCGAGGCTGTCGCCCCTGGAAAAAACGATGGTGAGCCGGGATACAGTGCGGGATATTATGGCCACATGCTGCACACTAATGTAACATGAGTAGTAATGAAACAAAAACATAGTTTTATCTTATTACCAATATACTCTTTCGCAAAAAATATTTTTATCATATTACTTAATCAGTTTTTCGCGATTTCGATATCGGGATTAAATCTCCGGTTGGCGTCTGCGGTTTTCGATGGAGGCAGAAACGATGTAGGCCCGTGTGCTCAGATTTGGGTGAACTTTAGAGGACCCCAGGTGGTCGAAATTTCCGGAGCCATCCTCTACGGCGTCTCACATATTCTTATGTTTTTTTTTTTTGGGGGGGGGGCAGTAAACTCCACATATCAATAATTAATTTCAATATCACCACGCTTACAGCAAAAAGACGCTTGGAAAGCGAGAAAATGTGCAAAGAGAAATTGCGGTAAGTGACGCCACCCAGAGATTTCCGCGCCAAAAGCTGTGACGTCACACGTTTTGATCACGTCGTCTAGGTCTTACATTGCTACTAATAGGTAAAAATTAATTACATCGTCGTCGGAAGTGACCACCGAAATAAAATAGCACGTCTCAAGCAATTTAATGGACCCATTGTCACCAAATGCGGAAAAGAGGCTATGAAACCAGTCGCGTTACGCGCGAAGATTAAAGTGAGCTATGTAAAAATTTGGCGTGACCTTTCTCCTGTATTAATAAGCTGATAGTGGCGAAATTAGCAACACTAGTATTTAAACTATTATTTAGCAATCAATCTAAACCTATTCCTTGTTTAGTTTTAGAGTGTCCTTTTACACAGTAGTTTAAGTACTTCTATTGCTGGAAATCAAAGATGGGATCTTTTTTTCTTTTTATAAGAATCGCCATTTCCGTTTATGATGAGTGGATCTGGGCTCATCTTTCCACCCAGTCTTCTGCACACTTCTGCAGTCGATTGTCGTGTTTATCGAGCCTATTTGCACTCTTCCTGCAAGTGCCTATATCATCCTTGTCACTTTTAAAGGCCGTTTGTCGTTGACATTGTGTTGTCTAGCTTAGAAATCAGACGTACTTTGCAGGAGCCTATCTTAGTAGTGTCATTCGCGCACTGGACAAGTGCGTTGCAAATAAGTACGTTACCCTGAAGGCTGTTTTAAAAAGTAAACACGTAGTTCTGATCGTATAGTAAGGGCTATTTTCGCTATACATAACAATTATATTTATCTTCTTGCTTTCACAATTTCGCAACTTTGTTACTATAAATTGAAAAGTATTTTAAGCAAAGAGAAAACGTGTTAAGAATCTGCTTTGCTTGGGGTGATTGTTTTGCTTGTTAGATTTCAGGCATCTAGCAAATCTATCTGTTGTAAAACATCAGCTTTGAATACGCTGAAATTGTAAGAGCCGCAGAACGTTGCTATGGCGACATAATCAGTTGTGCCTTCATAAAAATTGAATATTTGAAAGAGGGCAAATGATTGCCTTGCAATTCACACAATTTTTATATCTATCGGTTGATCTGGTATGTTTCAAACTAAAAAAAATGGCGTTGTTTCATGAAATGGCGTATGCATAAATTTATTTCAGGGGGGAGGGGGGGGGGCACATTCTTGATGTGAAGAGGCAGCCGGGCAGGCGAGTGGGGTTAGATATGATTTTGTGCTCCGTGTCCAATAGCAGAAAGAAATTTTGGGAGGGGCACCTGCCCCCCTCGTGGCTACGTCACGGGTCTAATGAGACGCAACAAAATCAGCGCGCACTACGAGAAGGACGTAAGGAAACGGCGGTAATCTGCCTCCAATGTTTAGTGAGCCGCTAGGTGGCGGTTATGTGATGCCACAAATTGTTTAGTTGTGACGGCTGTTGTACGGTTACTCGGATCCAATCGAAATACGTGATCGCTACCACTCCGCAACCGAGAAGGAGTTGTATACAAAAGGGCACGATTGCACACGCTGGTGCCCTTGCTATCCCTACAGACGTCAGTATAGACGGCTCCTTCTTACTTCATACTTGCTATGTCCTCACTTCCTACTGCGCGCGGAGGCAGCAGCACTCTAGTCGTTTTGCCTTTTGGAGCTATGGTATTTAAATTCTCCCGCGTTTTTTTTAGAGTTACGTGAGGTGAAATGTTCAAAAAGTCAGCTGCTCCAGCCTTACATCGTATAACATTCAAATTTGTTGCTGTTGCATTCATGACTTCGCGCTTGCAATGAAACTTCAATCTCTTCCTTGTCAAGGTTATCTTTAATATTTGAAGTTTTCTGGTTCTTTACTGTTGCGGCCTGCCCCGCCGCGGAGGTCTAGTAGCTAAGGTACTCAGCTGCTGACCCGCAAGTCGCGGGATCGAATCCCGGCTGCGGCGGCTGCATTTCCGATGGAGGCAGAAATGCTGTAGGCCTGTGTGCTCAGATTTGGGTGCACGTTAATGAACCCTAGGTGGTCGAAATTTCAGAAGCCCTCCACTACGGCGTCCCTCATAATCATATGGTGGTTTCGGGACGTTAAACCCCACATCATCAGCAGTTGTGGGCTGTTCAGAACGGTCACAATATTGAAACGTCTCATCGCCTATATCCTAAACCTGTTTCATCGTCCAAGGTCCCACGGTGTGCCTGATGGCCGAGTACGACGCCCTTCCAGAAATCGGCCATGGCTGCGGCCACAACCTGATCGCCGAGGCATCCATGGGTGCTGCTGTGGGTGTCACGGAAGCCATGAAGAACTTCAACACCATCGGCGGCAAGGTATGTGCTCGTTGGTTTCGAGAATCATGGAGTGCCCGCTGGTCGTATGTGGCAGCTTTGCACAATTACGCAATGTGCGGAATAGGCACGTTGCTGAGACGCTTTCTGTAATGGATGGCACAAATACAACACGTAATCTACGAAAGTGATAATTGGGAACAACGGATTCGTAGCACAAAACCGCCACGAAACCCGTATGAATGACAGGAAATCCATACGGATGACAGTCACCAGGAAATTCACGTAGATAAAGACCTACAAAAAAAATCGCAGCATATCCACGGAGTGAATGATGATGAGTGGGGCGAAGCTTCTGTCGGTCTGTCCGTCTGTCTATCTATCTATCTATCATCTCTCTGTCTGTGTTTCCGTGTGCCTGTCTCTCCGTGTACCTGTCTGTCTCTTCGTGCGCCTGTCTATCCATCTCTCCGTTTGTTGGTCTTCAAACTAGCTGACTGCTGAGCGAGTTGGCGCTTTGACATAAAAACCATTGTGAGGGCGCAACTATAACACAACACACAGGAAGAAACAGACGAGGACAGGCGCAAACTACCAACTGGCTCTAATCAAAGAATATCCACACCTTTATACATCAACACTCTGCGCAAAGCCCCGCCGCAACAACTAAGAATGCTGAATTCCAATTTCTTCCTCGCTTGTTTTGAATCTTCTTGGCTATCGGTATATCAGTTTGTTAAATTGTTGATTGGCGATGTAGTATATAGCGTACTATACCGTAAGTCGACATGACCCGAGTTAAATACTCTCGTTTGCAAGTTGGTCGTCCTGGGAACACCAGCCGAAGAGAGCGCAGGGGGGAAGGTACTACTGCTCGAAAAGGGAGCCTTCAAGGACATCGACGTGGCCCTCATGGCACATCCGGGTCTTCAGGACGGGCTCAAGATGCACGTCAACGCACGGCGCCAAGTAAGGATCGGCCGGATTTATCCGTTTATTACGTGGTCGGCTGATGAAAGTGTGACGTCAATTGGTGCAAAAGCCGGGCAGATTTTTCCAAGGAATATTTGAAGTGTCTTTAACGTGATGTATCATTCGTCTTTTATATTGTATTTAGCTCTTTGGAACTCTAATGAGGTGAGTGCAGTATGAAGACGATTAGAGAAACCTCAGAATAGTGCACTTTCTCAAAAGTGGGACATGTAGCACTCTCTGCAATGCATAATGGCGTATACTGACACGGACGTTTCATGCCAAGCCCTCGAGAGCCTATAAAATGTGCTGGTAACCATGAGTGCACCCTGAAAGTATTTAGTATGTTTTTGAAAGCTAGGTTCGCTTTCTTTTGTACCCTGAAGTCTCGACGCTCGTGTGAGCGTCTCATCAGGCGCAAGTTAGCGGGACGTTTCCAAGGCCGCTTCAACTCATGGTGTTACGTTGGTGACGCACAAGAGGCTAAATTGAATGTTTTGGTACCTCACGTCTTGACAGTTATTTGTACTGGCGCGTGAAGTCACCAGAATTAGCGCTGTAGCCTGAAGTCATGATAGTGTAGATTCCAGTCACTGTAGTATCATCAAGGAGTCACACAATTATAACTAATGAGTGTGCAATAGAAGTCAATAGACATGAAACTTGGAAACTATCTCAGCAGACTAAAACCTAATTAAGAAGCGTCACGCCATAAAAGCCTCAATTGCAACAGACAAAATAGAGATCATTTAACCATATGGTGTAGTAGCGCAAATTTGACGGGGACGAAGAGGACAAGAAAACACGACACTCGCTACACTCGCAACGAATTTTTATTTCAGAAGCAGCACTTCATATATAACCCAAAACCCTAGCGACACAGAAAAGAACTAGGAACACTGAATCATTGCCAACAGAAGCTTTTGCGCAGACTCAAACGATAGTACACGGCAGTTAAGCTTAGACACTTTTAGATGACATAACTAAAACAGCCCTGGTTAACATCAAATCAAAAAAACAAAAAGCAAAAGATTATGCGGGAATTCACACGTGTTTGAAACAAAATTTTTGAAACGACAAGAAGGAGAGTATGACACATGCAAACACGTGTGGAAAGGTATACATCGGCCAGATGGGTCGTTGCTTGAACTCCCGACTTTTAGAACACAAGCGATCATTAGGAACTGACATTCATTCTCACATAAAGAGACACTGTTCCCAGTGTGGCTGCTCACCAATGTACAGTGACACAACCGTAGTCTTCCGTCATCGAAACCAACTAACCAGAGAAATTGTCGAAGCCTTTCACATTAAAAAAAGAAAAGAAGGATGCATTAGTCAGTCATCGGTTTCGTTAAGTAACCGAGAAGCCAGCTACCTCGAAGGACTTAATTGAGATCAGTGTTTGCATGTGTCATACTCTCCTTCTTGTCGTTTCAAAAATTTTGTTTCAAACACGTGTGAATTCCCGCATAATCTTTTGTTTTTTGTTTTTTTTTGTTTTTTTTTATTTGATGTTACCCAGGGCTGTTTTAGTTATGTCATCTAAAAGTGTCTAAGCTTAACTGCCGTGTACTATCGTTTGAGTCTGCGCAAAAGCTTCTGTTGGCAATGATTCAGTGTTCGTAGTTCTTTTCTGTGTCGCTAGGGTTTTGGGTTATATATGAAGTGCTGCTTCTGAAATAAAAATTAGTTGCGAGTGTAGCGAGTGTCGTGTTTTCTTGTCCTCTTCGTCCCCGTCAAATTTGCGCTACTACACCATATGGTTAAATGATGTCTCACCAACTAGCCCAGCTATCAACCCTACTGAGACAAAATATAGCTTAAAAGACAAAAATGGACCTAATCAATAGGCACAAGGTAGCCGCCGTAAGAAGGTACAACATTGAGAGAATTCAAGCGTGCTCTAAAGCACAGAAGAAGCCACAAAGCTGTGAAGACCAAACATTGCATCGGGAAAAAAATCTGATGTATGCATTAAGGCACGAAATCCCTACCGATATGGATAGACTAGTAATGGTAGCAGAGGAGTTCTACAGTGATCTGTACAATAGCCGAGACAATCAGTATGATCACGTAAGAAGCAGCAATTATCGAGATGAATCGCACATCCCACCATAATTATAGCGAGGAAGAAGAGAAATACTTAGAGGGATTGCAAAGAGGCAAAGTCGCTGGTGAGGATCGGCGCACATCAGACCTTTTGAAAGACTGTGGAGGGATTGTGTTAGGAAAAGCTGGCCACTGTGTATATAGAACGTGTCTCGACGGGGAGAGTACCATAATCTCTGAAGGAGTATCAGAATTTCTTTGAGCCAGAATGGTTGCTGTCCACAACACCTGATGCCGCTGGGAGGCCAGGGCCATATGAAATATACAGAAAATAATGTTGATTCTTCGTCCTTCTCCACTCGAAAGACGCCACATTTCCTCTAACCTCTTCACAGAACGAGTGAGTTAGGGCTTTCATCCTACTATTATCAGCTCAGTTTGTTCCGGAACGCTGCGACTTCTACGGTCAAACTATGTACTACCGTGTCCACTGTTTAGTGACGAGACTTCAAATATCGGCACACAATGAAACTTTATTGCGGTGATGGACTCTCGTTCCTCAGCTCAACGTCCGGTACGAGGGCAAGGCGGCACATGGTTCAGACTCGCCTTGGGAAGGTTTGAACGCCCAGGACGCTGCGGTCGCAGCCTACATCAACATGTCCATGTTGCGGCAGCATACCAAGCCAGCCGATAGGATACTTGGTAAGTTACGGTACAGGCTGGCACATGTACGTCGGCTTGAGCGACATCGGTCGTGCTATGTTGAACAAACCGACTCATGGACTATGAGAGATTGTAGGTGAGGAGGTGTGTTTCCACTAGAAGACTTGTTAAAAGAGTAGTCTCTTCTTCGAGGCACTGGTGCCTGCGACATTACTTTTTATGACTTCGCAACGCTTGAAGCCTCAATGTGCCCCTGACTTTGTCTTGTTTGGTGTTCTGCCATATTGCGGGTAAATTTCTAAAAAAAAGCAGAAAAGGTTTTTGGTTGTTCAAAGAGCACTAATAGAAAGAGCTGCATTTCTTTTGTTGTTGTTTTTCCAGCTACAATAGCAAGCTAATGACCGACTTATAATGGCTTAAAAGTATTTCTCGAGCGCTGATTGGTTAACTACAAAAATTGGTTTTATAGAGCACTGTCACAGTCTGGACGGCAGCCGCATTTTTAAGGGGGTTGAGGGAAAACAGCAAGAACACTCTAACAATGCGTTCTGGGCAAAATTGACGCCGTTTGCCGATTACCCCTGTTTTCAAAAAGCCTGATCGGTAGACTGCATTGCCGCGTAGGATGAATTCTCAGGCGGGGTCTATCTCAAACTACTTGTTATCGCTATACATGGCACCGGAGTGCGCTGAAACACGCAGGAACGTGGCGCATTAGCGTTATGGACAAGTGTATTGACCTCTGTACTTAGGTTCAAGGGCGCGTTAAAGTACTTCAGGTGGTGTAAGGCTATGCCGAAGTCCCACATTGCATCATACTCCATGGCCATGTTGTTTATTCATGGTTGTACGCGGTAATTTATTTGCTAACACAATGCAGGCGTCGTGAAGCAGTTTGGCGAACGAGCAAACGACATCTCCGAGTCCAGCAAGCTGGTCTACCACGTCCGGGCACCCAAAGACACCGAGAAGGACGCGCTCGTCGCGCGAGCAGAGAAGTGCTTCCAGGCGGCCGCACGGGCCACGGGTTGTGGATTCGACATCGACAAGGGCATGGAGTACAAGGAGCTCATCCACAACGAAGTCCTTATCGAGACCTACAGGAAGTACGGTGAGGCTCTTGGTAAGGAAGTTTTGAAACTTTATTCACTCTATTTATTTTCAACATTCGGAATACTGAGGGTCACGGTCAAAAGGCCTCTGATGGGCTTGACTTGGACAACGACCCCTACGTTATGTCCCATGCTGTTGAATAGTACGCGGTACAAGGAGGAGGATCAATTGGTGTTCAGTATTAACGCGATAGCGTTGAAGAGCTCGTGTCGCAGAAAACTCGCCGCCGGCATCGGCCCCGTTGGTTGTGAGCGAAAAATCATCTGTGCTTCTGTGACCGAGAAATCAAGTTACCGAGATAGGCACAGGAGGCCGCTACTTGTCCACGTGTGCGTGAATGATCACACTGCAAAATCCACGCATTCAAAGCAAAAAAAGTGCTTAAGGCCACGAGGCGCGGTAGTTTCTTTGCCCTGCCACACCTCCCTGCTTAGCTTCGAACGCTTTCGTCGGGACGAGTGGGGAGATAATGCAATTGCAGCGTGCGACAAACATTTGTAACTCCATGCGCACTGGATAGATTCTTAATTTTTTTTTTCATTCTAAGAGTGATGATAGATACCTACGAGACGCCTTTCTACCATTGCTGTCATTTTGTGTCTAAAGTTTCAAATTGATAACATGGGCAGCGTGTGTTCCACACGCGAGTAAAAAATCACGTGAGCACTGGCGATACGAATGCTGCTGAACCGGAGACGAAACGAACAGACCATCTTCGTCGCCCAGGTGTGCAAGTGACTACATCATCCCGCGTGCGAGGCCTACCCTCAATTGCTCCACAAGCAGAGCGAAAACAACCCGCTCGTCTGTGGTGTAGCGAAGGAGTATGAAGTGAAGCCGGGAGAGAGGGCTGCGTTGCTCGAGCAGCAACTGGACAGTATGATGATTGAGATGTGGTCGCTAGCGCTGGCCCGTGCGCTAACTTGGAAGGCAGCAGCAAACGGCCCGTTTACTTCACGTTGAGGTGACCGAAAGAATGAAAATAGCTTTCCTACGAGGAATTCCTTTACAGTATTTTGTAGTTACGCTAGATGGGATTCAAAGGCGTTTGCTCGTAGTGTTACTCACTATAACAATACAATTTGTCTCTATCACGTTCATTACTTCGCCCTGGCGGCAAAACTGTGATTTCTGCGTGTGTGAAGAGAGCCCTGAGCGTTGGCAAGACAATCGACGAAGAAATTAGCCCATATAGCACTATCACTCATACTATCTTCGTCTGTTGTCTGCCCTGTGTGGTGTAACTTATTTTAAGGTGGGGTTATCAACTGTTTTACTACTAACAGTCATCTTTTCGGCGCCTCAGGCTGGCTTCGCTGAGAAAAAGAATCTTTCGGTCCAGGAAACAATGAATGACTGCTTCTCCCGTTCGGAAGTTGTGACAAGTTTATACCTTGTCAGTTTCGAGTGAGCTGGCAATGGCAATTTTTGTGACTGGAAACCATCCCATCCCCACGATGTTACAGACTGCATGGCGCATAAACGCTGTTACGTGTTTCATTTAGCTTATCGAGCCAGTCAGCACAGGTGCGTATTTGACAACACTACTAAAAGTCTAAAGAAAGTTGAGTCTTGTGCGGTCTTATTTTTTTTGTACATTGTATTCATGGCACCGATAAAATATCAGTGCCAATACTTCCACGTTGTGTAATCTTTGCCAGACGTTTTTACTACGGGCGCATTACATCCACTCACTTTCGTTCCTGTCTGATTTCACTTAACTTAGTGTAGTTGCGCGGGTTAAATGTGGGTTTATTATGAAGCGTATATTTATTCGTGGTGGGCCCCAGCATTGTTCAAGGGAGGATCCCTAAGCCCTAATCACTTCTTGTTTTTCGCGGAAGAGGTATGTATGTCATTTATCTCTTGACATTTGACTACGGTTTCAACAATGTTAGTTTGTGGAGGGTGTTCGAAGTACCTTGGTATCCTTATGACGCATGATGCGTCATGGTCCAAACATATTGATTTCGCATGCAACAAAGCCCTTAGGAGCTCAAGTTATTTACACCGTACGCTCCGTGTTTCTCCTCAGGAAACCAAACTGCTTACCTACAAAACACTTGTTCGACCCATTCTCGAATATGGTAGTGGGGTTTGGTGCCCCCATCAGAATGGACATCAAAAAACTAGAAGTCGTTCAAAAAATAGCTGTGCGCTTTGTATGCAAAAGATATGACAGGCTATTTTCTTCAAAGCCTTCCCCAGCTACAGGTGTCACTACAATCGCGAAACGCCACCATGTTGAATGCCTAAAATTTCTGCACATGTCAATCATTTTTTCTCGCTTCAGCACTCTCAAACTATATCTTAAAATTTACAAATCTTCGTCCACGGGGAGTGACCATGCCTTTAACATCGCAAATATTTTCACCCACACTGACAAGTTCAAATACTGTTTCTTTCCCTTCAACTATAGAAGCCTGGAATTCACTGCCCGGCAGTGTTCTACCCCTTCCAGAATTTCTGGAAGCCTGTTGATGAAAGTTGACTTGTTCTTGTTGTTTTTTGTTTCTTCCACTCCTGAAATAGCCTCATTGAGGCTGAAGTATGTAAAAATGAACAAATAAGTACAATTTAAGCGTGTATGTATGTATGCGTGTGCATGTATTTAAGTGCGTGTATGTGTGTTTTGATGATCACAATACGCTCATGGGGCGTTCCCCTCCCTCACAACGTCCTTGTTGAAAGTTGGACGAGTTCCTGCGGTATTGTCTTTCAACAGACTGCGCCGCGCAACTGTACACAATACAACGAATTTCAAAAAATTACACACCAGAAAAATTATAAAAACTTCTGTAAATGTTCTTTTTGTGTGTGTGTCTCGTTTCGCGGCGCAGTTTGGTAAAATATGAACCTTGATCCTAAATACTGGTGGAGGAGCCTGCCCTCAACCCGCCCCGCTTGCTGTCTATAAACCGTGGCCACAGGTGTGTCGTTCGCGGACGCTTTGCCGGGCGTCACCATCCGCACCGGCGGGTCTACGGACGCGGGAAACGTTTCGTACGTGCTTCCCACGCTGCACGCAAGCTTCGGCATCGGCGGCGGCGGCTCTGCCGTGCACCACACGAGGGCGTTCGCCAAGGCAGCGGCGACCGACGACGCCCACCAGGCAGCGCTACGCGTCGCCAAGATCCTCGCACTCACCGCGCTCGACCTGATGTCCGACCCCGAACTCATGGCGCGCGCCCGGAGCGACTTCGAGACTTGGAAGGTCGCCCGCGGTGCGCCGTGCAAGTGAACGCTTTGCTACTGCCACGGTCGATCGTGTGGGACTTGTACACGATTAGTCTTCTCATCGGTCGCCTATAACACTCTCAGCTGTCCTCGTAAGACAACTTCAACGAGGCCAGTCGGAGAAGCGACATGCCAATGTTTGAATTGTGAACAAGGGCCGCAACGAGGCCGAGAACCCGCCCCAGTTGTCCCACCGTCCGGGCTCCCGGAACCATGGGCTTATAGAGCCTTGATACATACCGGGCCAAAATGGTCCCCTCAAAAGAGGAGGTCATCGCAGGTGCACGAGCTTCCGTTAGTTCGTTCTTTATGCACGAAAAGGGAATACAGTGCAAAAATTAGTTATCTTAATAATTACAAATGGCATCGCGCGATGCGATAGATTACTGTATCATTTTAATTTTTTTTCATATAAATTGCGAGTTACAATAAAGAAAAGATGCAGGCAAGCAGCGTGTTACGTACTCATGTCTGTCATCGTGAGCACCCGATTTCAGTGTGGTTACGCTGTCGCATTCGGCACTTCTACTTCTTACTTACGCAGACCTGACTTCATGACGTCCTCTCGATCTAGAAGGTGCAGTGAAAAAAACCACTAGAACACAATTTTTTTTTCTATTTAATTGTACCAAAACGGTTATTTGGGCTAGTGGGTGACGATTGTTACGTTTGGCCCGGAAGTTCGTCTTAGCACACGCCATTGTGCGTGAGCCGGTCTGCGAGATGGCTTTCTCTCCGATTTCGGCGCCCGGACGGAAGCGAAAAGCACGACGCTGTCCTGCAGGTGTGCCCGGCAGTTTGCTGCGGTCGGGTTACGAGGAACTCGACGGAACAAACGTGAACAACCGTTTCGTTGAGCGGAATCTCCTCTGAATCTCGGTACAGTTTCACCTTTCTCGTCATGTAAATGAACCTTCGTTCTGTCTCTCAAAGAACGCGTCTCCTCACTAGCAAAGATCGGCTATGTGGACCACGGCGGGGAGCCAGTTACCGCAAAGAACCACTGCGGTACCTGCCATCGACATCGAGCTCTTTACACGATTCATTCTAAATACGAAAGGTGGGGCGCAGTGCGGAACAGAGACAAGAGAAGAGAAAGCTTTGTTCTTGTTCGCATTCTGCTGTGGCTCACACCTACTGTTGTAGATCGCCAAGAATTGAGGGGTCCTATAAATTCTTATGACGGAATTTTAGAACAATGGAGGGTTAGTGCACCTGTGTTGCCGCCCTCTTCTCTTGTCTCTGTTCCCTACTGCGCATCGCTTTTTTATATTTTGTTGAATCGAGAGGGAAAGAGAAAGTATGGAAAGTTGAAAATTTTGTGGAAACCCCAACAAAGAGCCCAGTGGCGTATGCTGTCGGGCTAGTTGGTGTGTAGCTGCGTAAAACATCGTTGGCGCAAACTTGAAAGAAGAGTCCCTTCCGTCGTCGTCTTTCAAGTTTCCGCCAACGATGTTTTACACACCAAACATAGAAATAGATTACTGGAAGTGTCCCTTAATTCCTATCATTATATTTCCTTTACATGTTCAAAGTTCTAACAACGTTAAGGCTTGGTGCGTTACTTGTTCTTTGTGTTGTAGACCCTTATTACCTGGCGCAACCCATTGTGGGAATCGACCATGCAACGAGCAATGCCGTGTTCGATAAAAACATTTGATTACGATGATCATAATGCTCATTGGGATATTGATAAAATAATTTGTTTCAGCAAGCAGATTACCTGGGTTCGTTTTTCTTTTTTCGTTGGTTCGTATATCATTAAACTTCCGTATTCATTCAAAATGTCCATATGTTAAACTCAATGCCTACTTTTATGATATTGATACGCAACAGCTAGCAGAGCCTGTCTGGAAGAAATAGAAAGACGACGTTCGTGGCTGGTTGTTTATGAACTGTCGCCATCTTGTTCGCCGAGCACAGTGCATCGTATGTAATTTATTAAATAAGTTACCCGTAACAATATATCGTATATTCAACATTGTAATTTGGCGCAGGTCGCGGGATTGAATCCCGGCTGCGGCGGCTGCATTTCCGATGGAGGCGGAAATGCTGTAGGCCCGTGCTCAGATAAGAGTGCACGTTAAAGAACCCCAGGTGGTCGAAATTCGGGTCGTTAAATCCCACGTATCGCGGTTTTGGGACGTTAAGCCACGCTTATCACATCAATATTGTAATTTCGTATATTTTGCTGTACCTCTTGGCTTAATGAGAGTGAAAAAGCCCCTGTTGCCGTATACCTCGCCCAGCCCATTGCTTGCTTGCTTGCTTGATTCTCTCTTTTGTGGCTCTCACCCGCTAAGGGGGATTGGCCAAGAAGCCGGTGGTTAATTCAAGTCAATACCTTTAGGTTTTTAGACTAGGGAATAGGATCACTTTGTTTTGACTGTGAAATCAATTTGGTGCAATGTAAAAAGGAAAGGTGGTGGAGGAGGAGAGAAATAATATAATTTGCTGAATATCTGAGGTGTAATTGTTATAGGAAATTATTCTGAATATTAAATCATTGCAGTGTAACAGCTAAATAAATAGTAGATAGGCTAGTAAAATTCGAGAGCTGATCAATGGCTCAGCAAGGTAATCTTCTTGTGTTATATAGGAATTCACAGAGAGCCCCGCAGATGTTCCTGTCACTGTGTGCCAATGAAGCGGCCCCAAAAGACAAAATATTAGGAGTAGTAAGTGATATTCCTAGTTTTTTGAATAAAATTTTGAAGCATTTTTTTTAATTTTTGAAACGGAGACAGGTGATAAGAAAATGGTCGATATGTTCAAGTTCGTTACAGCTTGAGCACAGAGGGGATGGCACCAGACCAGACCTGTTTAAGTAGAAATTAAGAGGTGGTACACGGCAACATAATTTTCTTATAGAGACTTCCAATTTACGCGTAGGACACCATTTATTATTCCATGCGAAGTGCAGGTACGAGAAATCTGGATTTGGTATCGTAATTTTTTTATGAGTCTTCATGAAGGGAAAGTTTTCTAAACCTCGCTGCTGTTACATAAGCTGTAGGAGGCATGATTGGCACAATCGGAATATCAAGGGATGTTCGCGGGAGTGTGTCAGCCATCTCATCTATAAGTAGGTCGTAAGTGAGGCCATCACTTCTACGTTTGAAAAGTAACCAAATTATCTAGAAATCGCCAGAAGAAAAGTTCATGATGGTCTGGAGTTTCGAGGGTCGTCACCTTTCAGCAAATCGTTGGTTTCGTGTTCGAGAGTGCGGTGGTATTGCTGGGACCCTGCCTCGTCCCCATGACGGAATATTTGGGTAGTCTCTTGGAGATTGGTTCAAGCCACCATGGAGGATATGCCACAAATCTCGTGGCACTAGGACTTTGGCAAATAAAAAAAAACTAACAGACTTGGCACTCCAATTAGCTTATTTTTGTTGTTGTTTTCTTTTCTTTCGTGATCAGCCTAATCATTGTGCCTTAAAGAAGGGAAAATTGTGCATTTTAGCCAATTTATTTGGGAGAAGTGAGAATAAATGTTCTTTAAATCACTGAAGAAAAGTGTCGCACGTGTGGTACGAAAATTTTATTCCAGGCATTCTAACAACGAAGCAGTTTTTATCATCAACAAACTAGCAGGCAACGCGAGTAATTCATCGCGTAACTCGTTGCAGCAAAAGGTAATTTATGTACTACACCATCAGTACTACAACTTCATCGCTACCGAGTCTAATTTTTACATTCGTTTGATTTCACAAGAGCGACTATTTGTTTACGTGTCTCGCGAATGGAGCTCTTTCTATATTTTGAACAAGCACGAACGTTCCGCCTAGAAGTGTGGCAGTTTGGGCTAGTTGGTATGGCATGACCATAGTTATAGCGCGAAAACAAAACGATGACACAGAGACACTTTTTTCTAAAGCGCTCGTGTCTTTCGTGTCCTTGTCTCTGTGTCGTCGTTTTGTTCTCGCGCTATAACTATCGTCGTTCCGCCTAGAGCGCAATGTACGAGAATTCCACGAATCACTCACAAAATCATCGACTTATTTTTTTTATTCACTATGCATGGCTGACTGCCGTTGCCGAATGATGAACGTTTTGCTTTCGTAATTATAGTTGCCTTCTGTACATCTTCCGGGTTCCGGGTGTTTGCGCAAAGAAGTCATGAATGGGTCCCTACCCATAGTGGGTTACTGCCACCACTACAGAAATCATCATCATTCGTTGCACCGTTCCAGGAAGGACCGAACGATTGTTCAAGAGAGCCGCGTTCTATCCAGCTCCACACACATCTCTTCCGAGGTACGGTACCTGACGTCAATATTACCGCATCGCTCAGTGAAGGAGCGATGAACAACATGACAGCTTCGCGGTGGTTTAAGCTCTGATAGACTCCGATGACGTTATACAGCCGAAAAAAAAAACGGGGACAGCGAATCGCACATCCAGTCACACTCCAGTCACCGTTTTTTTTTTTTCTTTTGAGCATTAAGCCTTTCTTGAATGAAACGACCGAGTGAACTTGCACAGGCCTAAACACGGGAGGCAAGTGGGGAGCCTTTAAGGTGTACCCCCCCCCCCCCTCGCCCTTATGTAAAGCGTAACCTTCATACCCATGCATACGCTAACTAGCCCGCAAATCGCCCCGCCGTGGTGATCTAGTGGCTATGGTACTCGGTTGCTGACCCGCAGGTCGCGGGCTCGAATCCCGGCTCCGGTGGCTACATTTCCGATGAAGGCGGAAATTTTGTAGGCCCGTGTACTCGGATTTGGGTGCACGTTAAAGAACCCCAGGTGGTCTAAATTTCCGGAGCTCTTCACTACGGCGTATCTCATTATCATATGGTGGTTTTGGGGACGTTAAGCCTCACGAATCGATCATTACAAGCCCGCAAATCGGTTCCCCTGACAAGATGGTCGATTGGGCGAGTTGGTGATACATGATTGCTTTAAGCGCAAGCGTGTGACGTAGACAAGGACAAGCGCACTATACCAACCTAAAGTCAGCATATTGCCGCACACGTACACGCTTCTTTCTTTCCACGT